AACTTTGGGGCCACGGAAGGATTTGAATCCGTGTCTGCCAGGACCCAGCCTGACACTCTAACCCAGGGGTCAGCAACCTTTTTCAGCCATTGGCCGGTCCCCCGTCCCTCAGACCTTGTGGGGGGCTGGACTATATTTTGGAAAAAAATATATGAGTGAATTCCTATGCCCCAAAAATAACCCAGAGATGCATTTTAAATAAAAGCACACATTCTACTCATGTAAAAACATGCTGATTCCTGGACTGTCTGCGGTCTGGATTGAGAAGTCGATTGGGCCGCATCCAGCCCACGGGCCTTAGGTTGCCTACCCCTGCTCTAACCACTATGCCACAGTGTTTACCATGCTTCCCCTCTCAACCTGCTTTTGGGGCAGGCAGATTTCCCATCCTTACCTGCCAGCTGGCTGAGATCCTCCACCAGAGGCTCCATTCAGGTCCGGACTGTCTGTGCTCAGCCAAGATCTGCCCAGCCGGCTCTGCCCCTTCTCTCCACAGTTGCACGAAAGGGATGAGGGTTCCCCAGAGAACTGGGAAGTGAAACCTCTCCTCCTCCTCCTCCTCCAGCATGAGAGGAGTCACAAGAAGCCACAGGGCTTTTTTTTAAAAAAAAAAAAATCTGCTAGGTTTTTTCTTTTTACTGACCTGGTAATTGCATTTGCAACAGCAGCCAGGAGCTCTCTTTTGCAGAAGCTAGCAAGAGGCCAACAGATTTCAGAGCTCATCGAAACTCTGGCGAGAAGATATACGATTTACCAGCCTCATATGCAATCAAATTAAAAGACGCCTGCTTCTTGGGAGAAAAGCAATGACAAACCTAGACAGCATCTTAAAAAGCAGAGACATCACCTTGCTGACCAAGGTCCGTATAGTTAAAGCTATGGTTTTCCCAGTAGTGATGTAATTGAGTGAGAGCTGGACCATAAAGAAGGCTGATCGCCAAGAAGTTGATGGCTTTTGAATTCTGGTGCTGGAGGAGACTCTTGAGAGTCCCCATGGACTGCAAGAAGATCCAACCTATCAAACCTATCCATTCTTCAGGAAATCAGCCCTGAGTGCTCACTGGAAGGACAGATCCTGAAGCCAATACTTTGGCCACCTCATGAGAAGACTCCCTGGAAAAGACCCTGATATTGGGAAAGTTGGAGGGCACAAGGAGAAGGGGACGACGGAGGATGAGATGGTTGGACAGTGTTCTTGAAGCTACCAGCATGAGTTTGACCAAACTGTGGGAGGCA